GAGCCCTGGTGGCACAATGGTTAAGCACTGGACTTTTACTGAAAGGTCGGCAGTTCAAATCCATCAGCTGCTCCACAGTAGAAAGATGTGGCAGTCTGCTTATACAAAGATTTAAAGTCTTGGAAACCCCATGGGGAAATTCTACTCTGTCCTATAAGGTTTGCTAATCAACTCAATGGGTTTGGCTTTTTGTTTTACTGTGTGTAGAGTACAATGGTAGCACTTTACATGTACCAAGTCAGTTAATACAATATATACATAAATATAAAGGATGATACTATAACCCCATTACACACTTGGAGAAAGTAAAATTCAGAGAAGTAACTTATCCAAAATCATACAGACTTTCAAAAACAAGGATTCAAATTCTCACTTTCCAATAAAAAAAATAACCTGTGATCTTGTTAACCAATGAGATATACTGCCTCATATAGTGGTTCCCCTTAAGGAGGGAACACAGGATGGGCTGTGATTAAAAGAAAGCATAAGAGTTTTTTGCAAGCTGATAACATTCTTGATCTGAGTCTAGGTTTACACAAGTGTTCAGTTTGTAAAAATTCTTCAAACTGAACAATTATAATCTATGCAATTGCATATATTTCAGTAAAATTTTTTAAAAAATACACACAACATACACACATACACAACATATATACATACATAACGTATACACAACCTCCCGGCATTTGTCAGCATTCTTTTCTTTTCCAAGTAAAGACTCAACTCAAACCAGCATTAGCAAAATGTGGAATTTATTGCTGACATGGCCAGAAATCAAAGGTAAAGCTAATCTCAGTGTACACTGACTCCAGGGATCAGAGCACCATGCTGGCCTGTACCCCTCCCCTCTCAATTCCTGGCCCTCTCTGGTGCTGTCTCTCATTGTCTTCTCTTGTCCACAATTTTCTCCATGTTGTGGTAACACATCTGGAGGCTGCTCTAGACCTCTATCACTTATACCAGCAAGAGGTCTTTTCCACCAGCTCTAATATTTACAAAGTTTGTAAAAGGATAGCTTCGGTCATCTGGACATACCTGGACTGATCAGTATGGCCAAGAAGCTGAGTGTGGTGGTTTTGTTTGTGTGTCAGCTTGGCTGGGCTTGGCTGAGTGGCTGGGCAGCTGGTGCTAGTTATTCCCCATGATGAGACTGGAAGTCAACTCCATGGTGGGATCTACCACAAGCAGTTGAGTAGCTGTTTTCGGTATGTGGTCTGCTTCCTGTACATAACAAGCAGCTTTGGAAATGGTCTCTAGCTTATGGCACACTTGGACCCTGCATGTAGCTGTGTCGTTCGTTGTTCAGCAGCCTGCCATGCTCTGCCGACCGTGGGACTTAAAATGGGCTTGAATTAATGGCCTGCCATGTGGTCTGGTAACATCGGGACTGTGCCATTTTATTTGTTGACCTTGGACTTGTTAGCCTCAGCAGCCAGTAGTTGCCTGAGTGAAGAGATGCCTCTAGCTTCAGTGGGCTGGGAGCAAGAGGCAGAGCTGAAGCCCAAGGTCGAGGGGCTTTCACACAGCCCCTAGAGCCTGGCACTTGGAACTCAGATTTCTAGCCTCCCAAATTGTAAGAGAATAAACTCCTGTTTATTCAAGCCATCCCATTTGTGGTATATTCTTGTCAGAGTGGCACTAGGTAACCACAACAGTGAGGTACCTTCTCTGGTTGCCTCAGTCACATACTCACTTATTTGGTCAGATGGAAGCAGTATGTGCAGCACAGACATAGTCATTAGGGAAGCTATTGGGTACCAGGAACCACTTTAACTTCTCACTTATTATATTATGCTGTAAGATTCATACTTTTATTAATTATATTTATTAAACAATTCATAAACCAGTTTAAAAAAAATTTTTTTTAAATCATATTTAAAGCTGATTTACATCCTCACAATTCTGTGAGGTACACAAAACAAAGAAAAAATCCACTGCCACTAAGTCAACCCTAAGACTGAGTAGAACTGCCACATAGGGTTTCTGAGGCTGTAAATCTTTATGGAAGCAGATTGCTACATCTTTCTCCTGCGGAGTGACTTGTGGATTCAAACTGCTGGCCTTTTGGCTAGCATCCAAGTGCTTTAATCACTGTGCCACCAGAGCTCCTGGATGAGGTACATTTGTTGTTGTTATTGTTATGTGCCGTCGAGTCAGCCCTGACTCATAGCGACCCCTCCTTGGGTTTCCAAGGCAGTATCACTACAGAAGTAGGATTGCCCAACCTTCCTTCCAAGGAGTGGCTAGTGGGTTTGAACCACCAGCCTTCTGGTTAGCAGTCAAGTGCCTTAGCCACTACGCTACCAGAGCTCCCGGATGAGGTACATAGGGGAAGCATTATTAGCCTCAGTTGACAAAAGAAGAAACTGAGGTTCAGAGAGACTAAGTAACATGTTCAAAACTACAAGCTGGTTAAGTGTCACAAAATCAAATGCAGGTCTTGACGCCAAGCACAGTACTCTTTCAAGCAAACCACACCATAAAGCACAGTACTTTTAAAATTATGGTAAACATTTAATAGGACATATGAGAATATAGTTCCAGGAAAATAATTTATCTCTTAAAAAAAAAAAAAAAAAAAAGCTCACTGCCATCAAGTTGATTCTGACTCACAGTGACCTCCACTGGTTTCCAAGGCTGTAAATCTTTACAGAAGAAGATTGCCTTCCGTGAGACCTTCTTCTCATGGAGCAGCTGGTGGGTTTGAACTGCTGACCTTTTGGTTAGCAGCCAAGTGTCTTACCCACTATGCCACCAGAGCCCCTTAAGTCTAGAAAAGAGAGAGAGAAAAAGAGGCAGACAGATACATCTGCTGGTGCTCTGTTCTTGGGATTTTATCCTGAAGATAAAAACTGCATCACTGACCTATCCCAGGGTTTAGCTGCTGTGAAAGCCAATAAATCTCCTGTCTTTTGCTGAAGATAGTTTGAGTTGGATTTATCTTGCAAAAGACTCCTGACTGATGTGGGAAAGATACTCTTAAAGGTAAATAACAGCACAGGTTTTTAGAGTTGAAAGCTGAGGTTAACCATCTTTGTGACCATGGGCAAGTTACTTCTTTGAAATACCATGAGTTGGGTAGTTTCGACAGATACCTTATGACTCTGGAAGCCTAAATATTTACTATTTACCTTACAGAAAAAGTTTGCCAACTCTGGATTAGAGCACTGAATCACATTTAGTACCTCTGACTTCTTTTCACAAATGCCAGTGTTCCCCCAAAGTAATTATGAAAACCAAAGCTTCACGTCCACATTTCTAACTCCAGTCCCTGAAATTCCCTAGAAAGGATGCACGGTGGTAGAACTTTGGTTTGAGAACCACTGAGCTATAAGGAAGATAAGAATAGGGAAAAGTAGTACTAGCAGCTGCTATTTTTTTGCAATTCTAACCAGCCGCTCCTCGGAAGAAAGGTTAGGCAATCTACTTCCGTAATGACACTGCCTCGGAAACCCAAGGTCCCACTCAATGGCACATAACAACAACAACAAAAAAAATTAATCTTTAAAATTATTCAAGAAAAAAAATTTAAAACAAAAAACCCAGGGCTAATGAGATCTGATTAAAAGTTCTGGCAACTCCTCCAAGATTAAATATAAAATTGCATTTGCTATATTTTGTGACATCTGTTACACTTGTGCGGAATAATTTTTGGTTGCACATATGCAAAGGTACTAGGTAAATGACTTTTAGATGAGAGGTGGTCACCATGCTAACAGAATGTGAGTGTGATGCGTGAGTTGAGACTTCCTATCGAGAAAAGTTGTCTAACCCAGCATGTTCTATAAATGCTCATCAGTGAAGTCTGAAATGTATGACATAAAAAGTGAAATACAGAAAATGTTTAATAAACATTACTAACTCTCAAAGTTCAAAATAAACTTTCAAAGATTTACATAAAGATTTTTTTTTGTTTCTCTAATTCAGAGTTTTCTTTAGCAAAGCAGACTGCTTTTTAAGTTGATTATAATAAAAAATAAATGTGACAATAATACAGAACCACAAAAGACTGAATTAGTGGGATGGTCAGCACCATAATTCCAACTAAGTACTTTATATGAAAAATGTGACATTGTGTATCTGTGACATACTCTACTCAGAAAACAGATGAAACTTCAAAAGGCTAATTGTATTCTTAGGTTTGTCTAATCTTTAAAATGTTCTAATTACCAATTATTTTCAATTCAACTAAATTTTAAAATTGTCTGTTTTTACCCCATATAGAAAAAGCCTTAAATATATATTTTGTTAAGAGCGACATCAAGAATAAGACATCAAAATGTTTTAGAATATGAAAACAAACATAACTCACTATAAACACTAAAAATCTAAGATACTACATACAACAACATACATTTTTGAGAATGAAAACACCACTTCTCACAAGTAAACAAGGTACTGTTTTCAAAAAGAGACATTAATTCTTATAGACTTTATAAGGAAAAGAATTACATCAATGAATTTTATTTTTAAATGTATAAGATGGCACAGTTAGCTTAATAGTTGTGAAAAATCAATCCTAAAACATCAAACAATTTTATTTAAATTTGGAAAATCTAAACAGTGTCAAATGCTTATTTTACTGAAAAGTTGGAGCTTAACTTATAAGAAACAGATTAAAAACTATAGCTTCTCTTAACATAAAAGTTATAAAAATTAACAGAAATTAAACCAAGAAAAATCTTAATACTTTTACAAAACACTCATTATATCCATAATCCTAGAGATTTGGTTTATTTATAATTGACAATATTAATGTAGCTATTTTGACAATGTAAGAATAAAAACCAAAGAATATATTTCTAAACATCATTTTTCTAATTTATTTAGAAATAAAATTAGCACAAGGAAAACCAAAATAATCTTCCCTTTCTATTAAAAAAATCCTAAAATTTATTTTGTCATAATTTTAGTTAATATGATAGTGATCTATAGCACAAAATAAAGAGACATTTTTAGAACAAAAACATTTTAAAAATTAAAAGCTTTGACCACCTTACCTTCTTTTGATACCAGACGATAGCATCTGTGACTTTGGACGCCATTTATTCCACTGAAATCACACATTAGTCATTTTAGGCTGTGCAAGAAAGAAAAACATACAAACAACTTTACTTCCACCTTCCCAAAGCAGACTGAGCAAGTTGCATACATAGTACTCTGCTTACTTGCAGAGCAAGGGGTGTATGACTATACTTATATTACACCCTTCCTCATTACTATTTTAGCAACAGGTTCTCCTAAGTAAACACAAATCAGTTGCCATAATAAAAGAAAGTTCTTTCTGCATGAATATAACTCTTGACTTTTCTTATAAAATAGGTTGTTTTTAAAAATGTCTTTTAAATAAATTTCAGAATTCCCTAGTTCATTCTAGAAGTTTTTCATGTAGAAATCCACATGTAATAGAAATACATTCATTCACTCAGTAATAGATCAGTTTTTGCTACAGTTTCTAAGAATAATTACTATCAGCTACTACTGCTAAAGGATGGTTTAACAAAGAGGCCAAAATTTACAATCATATTAAATTTTTCCTGATAGTCAGTAAACATAAAACGAAAATCAAATTACTAGAGAAGCCTAATAGTAACTTGGGTTAAATGCTAAGACAAGATTAGAATTAACTGTATAGGAAAAATTAAGGATTCCCCAGATATTAAAGTTTGCTCTTATTTAGAAATTTGCCACAGACCATTTCATGACCATCTTTCATGTGTTTATCTAAAACAGTACTGGGTAGTAAACCTGATGGTTCTTTAGCCCTAGAAAGAATTCCAGACTGATTCCATTTAACTCTGGAAGTACTTTATTGGTCATAAGATGATGCTGGCAGGGAGTACACCTCTGATACGGTGTTAAGGATGAGCCTAAAACAACTCCAAATGCAGACACTGGCCCTACAACTCATTATAAACCAAAATCACCCAAGGCCACATGGGAGGGGATGGCAATCCTGGGAGTAAAGCACGCTACCGAGCAGCACATGCACCTGTGGCTGCAGACAGGCCACCACCACGGAGTTTGTCAAGGGAAAACAAAACACCAGAAGCTTTGCACATCGTTCCTGTGAGCAAATATACTTCTTATATATCAGGATTCAAATATAAAGAAAATTATTACCAGCAAATTCAAATGTTCAGGTATCAATCTCTAAAAATTTAAAGTAGAATTTATTCAATGCCTGTATTTTTGATAGTGTTACAGACCAGATTATTTTATTACCTTTCTTAGAATATTAATAATTGCATCTTTAACTGATTAAATTCAAGTAAATTATGTTTCCAAATTTCTGAGAATACCCTGGCATAACAGAAGGAAAAGCATTAGAGCCAAAAGACTTGGATTCAAATACTGGCTCCAGTATGTGTAATATTGATCAAATCACCTCATCAGTTTCTTTCATTTATAAAATAGGAAACACTGTAGCTACCCATTTGCAAAGGAGCCCTGGTGGCACAGTGGTTAAGTGCTCAGCTGCTAACTGAAAGGTCTGAGGTTCTAACCCACCAGCTGCTCTGCATAAGAAAAGTGAGGCAGTCAGTCTGCTTTTGTAAAGATTACAGCCTTAGAAACCTATGGGGCAGTTCTCTCTATCCCATAGGAATGTTACATTTTAGAATCAACTTGACCGCACACAACCAAAACAACACCAATATAGGGTTTTTCTTTCTAGAGGGCAGATAAGCAAAGTAATATACAAAAATGCCAACTCCAGGGCAGGACATAGATCAACTGTAATTATTTTAAATATTAATTTATATATAAAAAACAAATTCCTCAATCTAGGAACTAGGAAGTATTTACATTTCTATTTCTAAACATAGCAAACAGTTTAGAAAAGGAATACATACCATCAGCTTCTGTCAACATTTAAAATAAAAATAGCTACCTGATTATCATAAGATCACAATGTCAATTCTCAACTATACACACACGGATTATTTAGAGATTTCAAAGTTCACCTCTCCTGAAGTTTCTCCACCAGGTGTGGCTACCCTCATTTCTCTCACCAACGTTTGTTGAGGAAGCTTTTCCTTTACTGACTTTAAAAAAGGTTTTTTCCATCCTAGATGTCTCTGGGGTGATTCATTAATTTTTAGCCATACTTTGTCCTAGAGGTTTTCTCCACAGATTCACTAGAAGACTATCCACTGACACATTTATACCCTTCATTATATTTGTCTAGACAATTGTGTATGTTTCCCAAACTGACTACACTCTCCTCCCTTCCTTAAAAAAATGCAAAGTATGAAAAATAGTACAGAAGTATGAGAATACCTAAATTTTTCACTTTACCCTCCTGACTTAAAAAAGGCCTTTGCAACTTTTCTTGCTATTTGATTTCTGTCATTCAGTTAATGATCTTTATTGATAAATATTCTAGATTATCTACTAAGACAAAGGTCTGCTCTACTAATGCCCATAATAATAATACACATTTGATTTACAAAATGTGAAAGGATTTTTTTATTCACCCACTATATTAAACATTACTTAATATATTTAGAGAATACTTAAATGGTCACAGTAATTTCAAAAAGAGGGTTTAATGAAAGTGAGAAAAAGACTGCCTGCTTCAAAATAAAATGATCTCACAGAAAATATTTTTATATACTTTGGTTTACTAAGCTACATTTAGTAATAAATTTCAAAAATCAACAGTAAACTAGTTACATAAAATGTCCCAAATGCCTTTAATTATGTTCATTTGTTTGAAACAAAACCCCTTCCTTCAGTTAATGGTAAGATTTGCTCTGCAAACTCATTTACTAGTTTTTCCATTGTGTCAACAACCTTCCAGTGACACTGAGTGGCTCATACCTATTTTTAAAACAGGTTTTACAGCATGCTGAAATAGATTTCTGAATCAGACATCTGACAAAGCACACTCAAAGACATCTTAATTTCATGTAAGTATAAGCTAGAATACACTAATAATCTTTATAATTCATGTAATCCTTTATTTCTAAAGTCTTTCCAACTTCCTTGATTCCATGACAGTTCAGGAATACAGACTTAGAGTTTCTATGGTTATGATAACCCACTGCCGTCAAGTCACTTTCAACTCATAGTGACGCTATAGGACAGAGCAGAATTGCCCCCGTAGAGTTTCCAAGCCTGTAATCTCTACAGAGGGAGCTCTGGTGGCGTAGTGCCTAAGGCATGTGATTGCTAACCAGAAGGCTGGTGGTTCAAACCCACCAGCCACTCCTTGGAAGGAAGACTAGGCAATCTACTTCCCTAGTGATACCACCTCAGAAACCCAAGGAGGGGTCGCTATGAGTCGAATCTGACTTGATGGCAGTGAGTAATCCCTACAGAAGTAGATGGCCACATCCTTCTCCTGTACAGTGGCTGGTAGGTTTGAACCAGTGCTCTTTCAATTAGCAGCCTAGCACTTTAACCACTGCATTAACAGCAATCCGATGGCTGTGACAGTTTGTGTTAAATAACTGTTTTAATGTTTAAGGTCACTTTCCAGAAAAAAAGTAGCATAGAATTCTGGGAAGATGGTGGCATGAATAAACTATCATTTCAACCCTCCCTGAAAACCACCACCAAACAGTGCTCAGCTTTGAGGAGCTCTGAGGCTTTGAGGAACTCTGAATCAGGGAGCAGAAGAAAGCAGCAGGGAATTGCAAACAGGCAAAAATCAACAAATCAATGAGTTCCGTATGGTAGGAAAATCAATTCCCCCACTGTCCCTGCACTGCTCTAGCCACGAGGCCATGGGCCTGTTTCCCTAACCACCACAGCCCCTCCCTGTACAAAGACACAGGACCCCAAGCCTCTGCCCTAAAATCAACAAAGCAGATCTTCCTGACGGGTCCATTTGAGTGTGCCAGCTGGACACCGTTGATTACAAGACTACTACAAATTGCTGCAGAAGGCCTCTGCGGTGGAGTCTGCGCTCATCATCAATACTCTACTGGCCTCCTTGAGCGCTCTATAACTCAGGCCTCTGAAACCAACAGGGCAGACCTGCTGGAGATTCAGTTCAGGGCTGCTCTCTTTGGGGCAATACTGAGTACTGCTGCTGACTGAGGCTGCTGTGTGCTAAGAAGCAGGCATCTTTAGTGGAGACTATACCCAAGGCCAGTATAATACAGGAAGAGTTTGGACAGCAACAAGGCAGACCTACCTGGAGGTCCATGCGGAATGTGACAGCCCTTCTCCTAACCAGACACTGTCACTTGCAAGCCTGCTGGGAGTTCTTACAGACTCCTTGCAGTGGAGTCTGCTCCCACAGTCAGCACTCTACCTGCTTCCCTGTGCACTTCATAGCTCTGGCCTCTGGAAACCAATAGGACAAACCTCTCTGGGGGTCAATTAGGGTTAAGTCTGCCCCCACTTCCAGCTGGCACTGAGGTCCCTGTGTGTTAGGAAGCAGGAGTCTTGAGTGGAGGCTTCACTCACAGCTAACAATCTACCAGGGGGACTCTCATAGCAACAAGGTAGACGTCCATAGGGATCTGACCACAGTGTGATACTCCCTCCCGCACCTGGTAACTGCTGGCTGCCAGGCTATTGGAAAAGGCTACAGAGGTCCCTTAAGTGGAGTTGGCTCCTACATTCAGCACTCTGCCTGCCTCCCTGTGCAACCCATAGCCTCTGATTATTAATAATTCTAAATGTTTTTTCATGTTTTTTTAATATCAAATATATATATAAGGCAATGGTAAAATTATGTTACAGGGCACATGGAATAGAAAAGATATAATTAGTGACAGCAAAAACAGATATTGAATTTCTTGTATGTTACTGAAGTTAAGTTGGTACCAGCTGTGTTGGATTGGGTTCTCTAC